AACAAAACCACCAACAGTTAGGTGTAGGCAACAAAACCACCAACAGTGGTGTAGGCAACAAAACCACCAACAGATAGGTGTAGGCAACAAAACCACCAACAGATAGGTGTAGCCAACAAAACCATCAACAGTTAGGTGTAGGCAACAAAACCACCAACAGTTAGGTTTAGGCAACAAAAACACCAACAGTTAGGTTTAGGCAACAAAAACACCAACAGTTAGGTTTAGGCAACACAACCACCAACAGTTAGGTTTAGGCAACACAACCACCAACAGTTAGGTTTAGGCAACACAACCACCAACAGTTGGGTTTAGGCAACAAAACCACCAACAGTTGGGTTTAGGCAACAAAACCACCAACAGAGGTTTAGGCAACAAAACCACCACCATAAAACATCAACTTGGTGTTGAACACCCGCCTTCTGGTTGAAAATCCTGTTTGTTGGACCCATCCATCTCCCCTCCCGCCTACCGATAGTCGTCTTTTTGGATATTATAAAGTACATCACTTGCTCTGACTGTTGCTTAGTCAGGTGGATGTATTTAATTTGTGTGTCCACCATGAATAAGGCTCCTAATTGACTTTCCATTGGTATAATTTGTGTCCTGAGCGATACAAACACAGCTTACACTGAGCAAAGAGAAAAGGGAGATAAAGAGTGCACACCATGGCCTCATCGTCCCCGCCACCAGGTAGGACGTCCTGTCTGCTGGTTGGCCGACTGCGTGCTGCAGCCTGGCATCCTGAGACAGGAAGACCGTTGAGCTGTACGACATCCTGACTTCCTTTCTGTCGACGGACAACTAAAAACAAACCAAAAGCAAAGCGGGTAACATCTCTACTGTTATTACTGTCTTTATTTTCCTATTGAATATTTGAACAACACAAAGGGTCGACCGCCATGCTAGCACCTCCGTGACGTTGTACTTTGGCACGACGGCATTATGCTAACATAAACATGCTAACGTGCTAACAATGACAATGCTAAAACACTGATGTTTAATAGCAGGTATAATGCTAACCATTTTTACCATCTTAGTGTAGAATGTGAATTGTTTCGTGACAAATTAAATTTTTGTACCCGATGATGGCGCTCGAACTGAACCACATTTCACGGTCCATCCAATAGTTGTGAAGGCATTTCAAACTGAAAATAGTAATGCAGAAAAAAACAAATGCCCAACCCAGTGGTATTATCAGTGTTTGTTGGATTGCAATTTTGAAATTGTTTTTATTGAAGCACACCAGAAAAAGATTGTAGTATCAAAAGCCCCATTTGCAAAATGTTGTGTGTGACTGGGCCGCAGGGCTGTCGCAATAACCGCAGTATTGCAACACCGTGCTGTCAACGAGCAGCTGTCTGTTAAGTATTTCCTTTTTTGAATTCTTTGCAATGGGAGCGCTGGGTATTCACAAAGATTATAAAAGTTTATAAAGTTAAGCTTTGGATAGAACGCTTTGTTCCTCACCGTCACTTTTTTACCCAGCCGTCCAATCCCGATGGTGGAGAGGCGGGACAAACACTACAAAGACCAACCGTCACATCCTCCATATAGACTCGCTTTTATGCGATTTCATCTTTTTACCGTTTTTCTGTAAAATGTTGTTTTTACTATTTAATTTTGTTTAATTCATGCGTTTTAGGTTTGTTCTTATCGTATTGATTGGTTTATGTATTTCCTCCATTGTACTGTTTAATCAGAGTTTAGCTTGTCTTGCAATTCTGTCATTATGTTGCAGTGCTTTGTCTGTCAAAGCACTTTGTAAACTCAGTTTTAAAGGTGCTATATAAATATAGTTATTATTATCATTATTATCATAATTACATAGGCTTCACGTGCTGAACAACAACAATGGACAACAACAAAGGAGGAGAACTGAATACACAGACCGGCGGTCCGTCCTCTCTCCCTTCATGCTTCTTCTTCTTCTTCTCTATTCGTGCCGTCAGTTTGACCTTTGTGGATATTTTGTATCATAGCAACAAGACACAGACAAAGCGTCTCAGCTCAAAGAAACCCTGCGCCTCATTGCCCTTCTGTGTTATGCATTAAATAATTCAACCTTTGTCATTTAAAAAGCAACAATATACCTGATAATAACCTTGCAATAAAGCTTATTTATAAAGCACTAAAATCAGGATACATGAAACAATAACACATCATAACACGCTGAATATGAGACACAGCCAGAACAATAGAGACAAGCTCCATCTAAAACCCCAGTGTTCACCTTCTCTGGAGGTCTTGATGAAGCTTCCTGATACCGACTGCTTCTCTTGGGCTCACATCCCTCCTGCTCTTCCTCCTCTTCACCCTCCTGCCGTTTCTCCTCTTCAGGCTCTGGTTTCCACCGTTGTGTTAAAGGTCTCTGCAGCCCGGCCCTGCAGACATCCTGCACCTCCTGCTCACTACGATTCTCTAACCTGTGGCTCCAGTCGCTGAAGCCCTCGTCCTCCTCCAGAACCAGGCAGCATCGGGGCTTCAGCGCCTCGTCCGACCTGAGGGGAACCAAGTGGACAACCGTTGACAGGAAGTGGAGTCAAGCCATTGGTCGGAAGTTTTATTTTGGAAGAAATGCAGACGTGATACAACCATGTCAGTGGTTCAGAGGATTGAAGGTACTTTCTAGCTTAAATTGGTAAAAGCAAAGATCTATTTATGATTCTGGATGAAAACTAAAAAACTCAGAGACAATTCACTTTCATGAAGTGGAAACACACTGTGAGTTAAAGTTGTAAGACGAAAACACAGACAACTCCCAGACCTGTCAATCACCGTGTAGCCCCGCCCTAAAGCATCCCCTGCTTTATGGTCTGTTTGACTCTAAATGGACCATAATGTACTAAATGAACATCATGCTGTATTGAAGAAGACTTGAAACTAGAGATTGAGACCATAAACTCATGTTTACAATGTTTACTGAGGTAATAAATCAAGAGAGAAGTAGAGTCATTTTCTCATAGACTTCTATACAACCAGAGGAGTCGCCCCCTGGTGGACACTAGAGAGAATGCAGCTTTAACACATGAAGCTTTGGCTTCACTTTTTAAAACCATGTTTTTCTTATCTCCTCCATCTTGTTTTCCCAAAATGTGCTACATGCTCAAACTCCAGATCTGGATGATGAGTGATGCCACTGGTCTGGTTGAAAAGATTCTCAGAATCTAAATATGGTGCTGCACACGGTGAGAGAGTTTGTCTCCTGGTGCTGCTGGTAAACCGAGCGTCACCCAAAGGTCTCTCACATGGCAGAGTGTTGGTGCAGGCGGCAGACCTGCAGCTTCAGGCTCCAACAGAGACGGTGCCCATGGAAACAATAAACAGAGAGGCAGTGAGGCTTCCTGTTCAGCTCAGGTCAGCAGACTGGACCTCATCAGCACTAACTGAACACCTAAAAGCTGATGTTTTTTTGGGAGAAATTAAGTGGTTTCTAAATGTTAGCTGTGTGTTTAACTTTCATGTAATTCAGGGGATTCATCACACGCAGTCACACTGTTGGCTGAACAGTGCAAACACAGTTTCTACTGGTGTTTTATAAGTTAAAGGTGTTTTATAAGTTGAGTTTAATCTGAAATGTAGCGGATCCTTTTTGTTTATGACTCTATATTCAGTCCCTTCTGTTAGCAGGGAGTCTCAAAGACTGCTCAACAAATTCCACTCATATTGGGTGAGATGCAGCATTGGGAGGCCGTTGATGAACAGATTTATGTTTTGACAAATGTTTTGGTCCAAAATGAATCTTTCAGGATGAGTCATGTTTTTATTTTGCAAATAAAATACTTAGACAAAATGTTTTCATTATCCTTTTCCTCCCTGGATTTATTGCAAAAAAAGATTAAACAGTTAAATCACTTGATGCAAGAAGCTACACATACTCACAATACAAACTCATTCCTTTCTTACAGTGTTTTATTTCGGCCGGTGTTCTTCATCATTTAATGAAACATTTGCTGTCGGAGCTTCAGAGTCAGCATGTTACAGTAGATTAGTGTGACTCAAATCTCCAGCCAGGAGGAACCGTGAAGCTAATGATTCAACCAGCGAACATCACAAGTGAGCTGCATCAGTCTCATGAGGACATTTCCCCTCGAGGGACGTCACGTCTGCGACTGATCAAACACAAAACTGATGCGGCAGCTCGTCCACCTGCAGCATCGCTGGAGTCTTCTCCCTGTGATCAGCACTGAAGCTGATTTACACTCAGCTGTAAACATCGAGGACAGTTTCACACAAACTAAATGGTCACCCCACCAACAAAGCTCAAAACAAAAGGACTCAAAGACATCTGTCCAAACTGAGCTTCTATGCTAATGATGCTTAATGTTTGATTGATCTGTTGTTCACGTTTCTTCAGTCTGTGCATGAAGGAACTAGAATAACCGCCTCACGGTTGAATTCCTCCATCAAACAGTCAAATTGTAGTTTACATCCATGTCTGTCCAAAATGTCATCAAGTCATCAATGCATCCTGTTAGACGATTGTCTGAAACTGTCATAATTGTCATATGAATTCTTGAGCAATGGTTGAAAATGTTTGTACCAAATTTGAAGAAACTCTCTTCAAGCGTTGCTGAGATATCGTGTTCACAAGACTGGAGCAGAAAGACCAACATGTCGCAGAACAATTGAGGCAGAACAATGTACATAGAAACGGGGAGATGGAAACTACTTACAACAAACTATATTTAGAAACAAATGTATGTTTTCTGCACTTTGACTGAGACTGAAGTGAATCTACGGCCACGTGACAACAAGCAGGTCGGGCTCGTCTCATCCAGCATTCTTAGCTCGACATACAAAAAACAATGCGCCATAATTCGTAGATGTACCAGAAGCACTTCCGTACTTATTTCAATTCAAACGACAATCTTTTCTTTAAGTAGTTTTGTTTAAAAAACTTGAGCTGTCACAGTTGTATTTACATGGAGACATAATCCAGCTGCAGCGTCGTGTACTCACTCTGTGTCGTGTGGGAGCTCGTTGTGTTGGGGGGCCTC